AAGATGCAGTTGGTTGACCTTTACTTTGATGGAGTCAGGGGGGATGTCCCAGCATGCTCCTGACTGCTTGACCCCTAAAAACTTCATTGATATGGTAGGCTCTTGAAACTTCATGAGGTTTCTTCCAGGTACCTCCTACCCTCTGGAATGCATATATCTACCAAGACCTCCAATGTCCTTGTCCTTTATTGCTTACCAGGTGACAGTAACAATATATCACTCATATTATAGACCAACATCATATTATACAGACGGGCCCAATAATCTGGCTTGTTTTGGATATCTTATGCAGAGCATGAGAGAGTTAACATATCCCTGAGACAAACTGCAAGGTACACTGTTGTCTGTCTTTTGTAAATGTGAGCTGCTTCTGCCCCTTTCTTAATAGGGATGTAAAAGAATGCATGTACCAGGTGGGCCTCATCAGTTAACCTGGAGTTCTACTGACCTCCTCTAGCAGATTTACCGTATCTGGCACAGCAGATACAGGTGGGGTTTCTACTCACTTGGTAGTCAGTCGATTGTAATCCAGGATCCATTTGGTTACTGCAAGGGCCAGACTGTGATGGGACCCATCAATCCTTGGATTTGTCAGAGTTTTCTAGAGGAACAGAATCAATAGGATCTCCTTCTCTCTCTCTTCCCCCCTCCCCTCTCATTTTCTCTCTCTCTGTGTACATGTGTGTCTGTATTTAGATACATACAGAAAGAGAAAGAGGGATGTATTTTAAGAAATTGTCTCATACAGTTGGAGGAGCTGGAAGATTAGAAATATGTAGGGCGGGCCAGGAGACTGGAGACCCAGGGAAGTTGGTGTTGCAGTCTTGAATCTGAAAGCTGTTTCAAGGCAGAATTTCTTTTTCAGGGGACCTTAGTCTTAAGGCCTTCAACCAACTGGATGAGATTCACCTGTAATATGGAAGATACTCAGCTTTACTTAAAATCTACTGATTTAAATGTTAATTAATTATAGAAAATATGCTGACAGCAACGTTCAGATGGGTGTTTTATCAGGTAACTAGGCACTGTAGCCTTGTGCTATAGCGTTATAGCCTAGCTGAGTTTACACATAAAATTATCTGCCATATCCCTACATTTAGGTCTCTGCCAGTCCTCCTAGGATATGGTTTTATTTTTGATGTACTCTTTTGGCCAGGGGGAAAGAATGGCAGCTTCACCCCTGTAATCCTAGCACTTTGGGAGGCTGAGGCGGATGGATCACTTGAGGCCAGGAGTTCGAGACTAGCCTGGCCAACATGGCAAAACCCCTTCTCTACTAAAAATAAAAAAGTTAGCCGAGTGTTGTATGTGCCTGTAATCCCAGCTACTCTGGAGGCTGAGGCATGAGAATTGCTTGAGCCTAGGAGATGGAGGTTGCAGTGAGCCGAGATCGCACCACTGTACTCCAGCCTGGGCAACAGAGCGAGACTCTTTGTCTCAAAAAAATAAATGAATAAACAAAATAAAATATTAGCTTTATTCGTGAATAATTCATACACCATAAAAGTTAGTGGTTTTAGTATAGTCACAGAGCTGCACAGCCATCACCACAATATAATTTTAGAAGCTTTCTGTCGCTCCATACCTATTAGCAGTCCCCAGTTCTCCCCTCCCCCAGGCAACCACTAATCCACTTTCTGTCTTGGTAGATTTGCCTGTTCTAGACAGTTCATGTGAATGGAATCATACAATATAAGGTTTTTTCCATATCTGCTTTTTTCTTAAGTTGACATATAATAATTGTATACATATCTGCTTTTAAAATCCAATTTGACTTTCACAATTTAGCTGAATGCTTTCACTTTCGTATTTTAATGGGAATTAATGTAAGGAAAATGAGACTAGACCAAATTTTTAAATCATGTTACCTGATATTTTATCTTTTCACCCACATGCTTTCAAGTAAAAATTCCAGTGCACTATTTTCCTCAAGAGAAAGCAGTGGCAAATACTACTTTCTAATTTTTTTTTTTTTTTTTTGAGACAGAGTCTTGCTCTGTTGCCAGGCTGGAGTGCAGTGGCACAATCTCGGCTCACTGTAACCTCTGCCTCCCAGGTTCAAGTAATTCTCCTGCCTCAGCCTCCTGAATAGGTGGGACTACAGGTGTGTGCCACAATGCTCAGCTAATTTTTATATTTTTAGTAGAGACGGGGTTTCCCCGTGTTGGCCAGGATGGTCTCAATCTCTTGACCTTGTGATCTGCCCACCTCAACCTCCCAAAGTGCTGGGATTACAAGTGTGAGCCACCACACCCAGCCAACTTTCTAATTTTTTATATGTCACTCAAGCCATTCTGACATCTCTAAAATTCCTGGAAGCTTCATAGGTAAAGCATAACTTAAATATAAGTTTATTCTACCTAATCCCAATATGTGGCCTCAAAACATAAGTCCATAAATGTCATTTCTAAGATTATTTTACAGAAATACTCACATTTGTTGTCATTTTTGTAGCCAAAGCTAAATAGAGGATGGGGCCTGTGAATTTAGAACCATCCGAATGATAAATATCAAATATTTAGATAAAAACCTAAATATTCACCCCTCTACCTTCATTTAGAGCCAATAAATAATAACATCTTCTTTTTTTTTTTTTTTTTTTTTTTGAGACGGAGTTTCGCTCTTGTTAACCCAGGCTGGAGTGCAATGGTGCGATCTCGGCTCACCGCAACCTCCGCCTCCTGGGTTCAGGCAATTCTCCTGCCTCAGCCTCCTGAGTAGCTGGGGTTACAGGCACGTGCCACCATGCCCAGCTAATTTTTTGTATTTTAGTAGAGACGGGGTTTCACCATGTTGACCAGGATGGTCTCGATCTCTTGACCTCGTGATCCGCCCGCCTCGGCCTCCCACGGTGCTGGGATTACAGGCTTGAGCCACCGTACCCGGCCAATAATAACATTTTCTTATCTCTGCATAGATTTTATAGGCAAAACTAGAAAATTCAGGCATTTGGTATATATATATATATTTTTTTTTTGAAAGTCTCACTCTTGTTGTCCAGGCTGTTGTGCAGTGGCACAATCACAGCTGATCGTAACCTCAGCTTCCCAGGCTCAAATGATCCTCCCACCTCACCACCTCAGCCTCCCAAGTAGGCAGAACTATAGGCATGCACCACCATGTTTAGCTTTTTTTTTTTTTTTTTTTTTTAATTTTTCGTAGAGCTGGATATCTCACTGTTTTGTTAGGGCTGATCTTGAGTTCCTGGGTTCAAGCAATCCGCCTGACTCGGCCTCCCAAACTGTTGGGATTACAGGCGTAAACCTATTTGACTGTCTCATTTAGTATATACTTAATAAATATTTATTCAATTTAAAAATGGTAGAATGAGTAGGTTCTAATTATTAAGAAAGTTGGGGGCCGGGCGCGGTGGCTCACGCCTGTAATCCCAGCACTTTGGGAGGCCGAGGCGGGTGGATCACGAGGTCAAGAGATCGAGACCATCCTGGTCAACATGGTGAAACCCCGTCTCTACTAAAAATACAAAAAATCAGCTGGGCGTGGTGGCGCGTGCCTGTAATCCCAGCTACTCAGGAGGCTGAGGCAGGAGAATTGCCTGAACCCAGGAGGTGGAGGTTGCGGTGAGCCGAGATCGCGCCATTGCACTCCAGCCTGGGCAACAAGAGCGAAACTCCGTCTCAAAAAAAAAAAAAAAAAAAGAAAGTTGGTCATATCTGCCGGGCGCAGTGGCTAACGCTGGTAATCCCAGCACTTTGGGAGGCCGAGACGGGCGGATCAGGAGGTCAAGAGATTGAGACCATCCTGGCCAACACGGTGAAACCCCGTCTCTACTAAAAATACAAAACAATTAGCCGGGCGTGGTGGTGGGCGCCTGTGGTCCCAGCTACTCGGGAGGCTGAGGCGGAAGAATCGCTTGAACCCAGGAGGCGGAGGTTGCGGGGAGCTGAGATTGCGCCACTCCACTCCAGCCGGGTGAGAGAACAAGACTCCGTCTCAAAAAAAAAAAAAAAAAAAAAGGTTGGTCATATCTATAAACTGTAAGCCTAAAATGTAATACCTTCATCTGATTTCTTCTTACTGTTCTTTTAGTTGAAGTTAAAACCTAAATATTTGTTAAAAGGATACAGGACAGATTCTTCCTTGGGAAATAATGTGATGAACTGTTGAGAGCAGTGTTACTGGTTCTGCACTTGGCAGGAAATCAATGTTTATAAGATTTTAAAAAATTCATTCTGTGAGGCACAGTGTATGAAACTGGGAGTTAGGAAAGCTTGGTCTGGCCTCAGCTCTGTGGCTAACTTTTGATTCAAGGGTTTCTAAGTAAAGTCTGACACATAGTTTTATATGTTTTATTTATACATTTATCTTCAGCATCTTGGTATGTTTTAGAATACTTTGGGAACAGAAGCCACTGGCATAGTAGCTTTAGGACAACTAAGTTGTACTGATTCAGTTATTTATTTCCTTACTGTTTTTTGAGTACCTACTGTGTGTCAGGGATTAAAAGTGAGTAAGATTAGTTTCTGTCATCAGTGTATTCGTACAGTTTGTGAAGTACAGCATAGTAAAGGCCCTTTGGGCAGGAGACACAATTCAGATCCCACTTAGTCTCACTGACGGTATAATCAGGGCATGCCAGTCTCCTTGTGTTTGAAATGGGAGGGGTCACCTTAGCGCCTGGATTTGACGCAACCTCCATGAGTGTCAACTGAAGCACCACTTCCTTTGACTGCTGGATTTAAGACAAATACAAATTTTAAAACCAAAAGTCAGAAATTGATCCTTGAGAGTGGCTTCTATTCTTTTCTCGGGTAGAAATGAAATATTATAAAACAAGAATTATCCTTTTTGAAGGGACTTAGACTTCTGAACACTTACACATTCAGTTTCAGAAAAGAGAGTCTCCTTAGCTTGCTTGCCTCACCAGGGGTGTGTGGTGCATATATGTTTGTGTGATTTTTAAAGGGAAGCCCTGTGTCTTTGAGTATTTATAGAATTGAAAGCATTTTCATAGACATCTTCTTTTTTTATCTCCTCAGATAGATAAAAGCCCAGAAGGACAGTTCACTCAGCTGATGACATTGCCCAAAAGCTTACAGCAACAGATAAATCATATTATGGACCCTCCTGGAAAAAACAGAGATGTGGAAGAAACTTTATTCCAAGTGGCTCACGATCCTGACTGTGGAGATGTGGTGCGACTAGGTACGTTTATGAATTTGATGTTGAGGAAGTGCTAGCTGTAGGGGAAAGCAGACTTTGTTTGTGATTGGGATGTATTATTTCTTCCTTCTTGTTTAGCGAGATAGAGAGTTTGCCTCTCAGAAGAAGAAAACACTAAAAATTTGAGAATTTTCTAAATCTGAATTTTTACTTGTTTGAAGTAAGATGGTAAAAATACTTCTAATTTTATCTGGATCCTAAATCACTGTCAAAGGGAGAAACAATGTTTCTTTTGGTTCCTAGAGCACCACTTCTGCAATTTATTAAAAGATGTGTCTGTGTTCTTTGTGGTGGCCTGAGAAAACAGATTGGTGGCATTTTTTGTGCTTTTTTAACATTGAGAACACAGCTTTCCTCAACCAACTACATTTGATGTGTCTCATACAGTGTTCAGTGCATTCACTTAGACATGGCGCACGTTCCACAGCATTCTCCCCAGCACTGCCCTAATGTTTATCCAAAACTCTGAACCCAGGCCAGGTGGGTTTCTACAACACTTTAGGAGGCCCAGGACGGAGAATCACTTGAGGCCAGAAGTTTTAAGACCAGCTTGGGCAACAGAGCAAGACCCTGTCTCTGCTAAAATTGAAAAATTAGCTGGGCATCGTGGCATGTGCCTATAATCTCAGCTAACTTGGGAGTCTAAGGTGGGAGGATTGCTTGAGTAGTTGGAGGCTGCAGTGAGCTAAGATCATACCACTGGGTGATAAAGCAGCCCTTATCTCTGAAAAAAAAAAAAAAAAAAAAACCTGAACCTTATCTTCAGAGACTAACTTCCTTTTAAGGTGCTAAAGGTAATTTATAAGATCAGTCAATCAAGAAATATTTCTGAAATTGAGAATGAGTCCCTCTCTCAACTGAGTGCATCCTCCTGTTTTCATTCAGTAAAGATTTACTGAGCTTTTTTGGGTGCCAGATACAATTTCCAGTAATGCTTTGCAAAGACCATCACACTGCAGTGGAACATCAGCCACAGCAAGCGCTCCACTCCCACTCTCCTCCTGGGCCTGCACAAGGTTTGCAGACCGTGTGTTTAGGTCACTGGCTCCCCATCCTGAAGGTAGCTCTGTATTAGACACACTGTTGTTTGTTTGAACATGATCCTGGCAACAGTGTGATCTGGGCTGTCTCTTTGAGGGGAGTGAAACTTGCTCCTCACTGTGGAATCCATATATATGTTTTCAGAATGAAAATTTTTCTCGTAGGTATAATCATTTGGTTTTTATCTTTTTACGTTATGGAATTGAGAACCAGAAATCTCAAGCAGATTTAAGTCATAAAATGCCCTTTGAGGGTCAGCTAACCCACCGCCTGGTTTTAAAGGGCGGTGGGTAGCCGGGCGTGGTGGCTCACGCCTGTAATCCCAGCACTTTGGGAGGCCGAGGCGGGTGGATCATGAGGTCAAGAGATCAAGACCATCCTGGTCAACATGGTGAAACCCCGTCTCTACTAAAGCTACAAAAAATTAGCTGGGCATGGTGGCTCGTGCCTGTAATCCCAGCTACTCAGGAGGCTGAGGCAGGAGAATTGCCTGAACCCAGGAGGCGGAGGTTGCGGTGAGCCGAGATCTTGCCGCCATTGCACTCCAGCCTGGGTAACAAGAGTGGAACTTCGCCTCAAAAAAGAATAGCTGAAAAAAAAAAAAAGAAAAGAGGGGAGGAGGCCCAGAGCTGTTCAGTCATCAGCCTGGACTCACACAGCCGGGTGGCGCCACGGCTGGCTGCTCCAGTCTCCTGGCCCTCAGTCCCAGTGCCCTTTTCACTGTCACTGTGACAGCAGGACCGAGATAGATTTGGTGGTTTTATTGGCTGACTAGAAAAAGAATATTTAGTTTCAAGTTTTAAAACTGTTAAGATGACTAACATCTGTTTTGGCTTTTTTTGGTCTCCTTTTTGGCTTTTTCTCACAGGGCTATCGGCAATCGTGAGACCTTCTAGTATAAGACAGAGCACCAAAGGCATTTTTACTGCTGGTAAGAGCTTTAGAAATCCATGTATAACTTACTTGCCGATTGAGTGGCTTCCACACTCTTGGTTACAGTGTAAAGCTTTGTATATTTTAAGCATTTGTGAAATGCTGAGCTTTGATGGCCAAAAAACTGGGATATTGCAGTAAGGTACAAACAGGCATAACAGCAGCAGAATCTGGGGGTCTGACAATGTCAGACCATTGGCAGTGCGGTTGGAAGCTTTACTGCCCTTCTGAATTTTCTGAGAAACTTACTGTGTGCAGGGTTTCTTCCTCATATTGTTATATTTATCAAAGTTACAGATGTATAGCATTGCAAAAACAACACCTGTGCTCCCTCTGCTCTTCCCCTTCTCGGAGACAACTGCTTCCATCTCTCTTAGTGGGTTATTTTTGTTTTTACTGCCATTTCTCTATGTTTCAACTTTAGGTATTTTCTGCGTTTGAACTTTAGGTGTCATCTATTGACTTCTCTCTATGGGAGGTTAGAATTCAACTCTGGCACCCACCCTCCTCAGTGTTCTCACCCTCCTATCCCTCTGTCCGCCTAATACAGTATTCTTGTGGTTTTGGCTGATTAGTTTTCAGTTTAATGGTGTGGTGAGCCACATAGTACACCTTTCCTTCCCTGCACAATGTTCTCCCATGGAGAGTGTCTCCACTGTCCCCTCTAGGGGGTCCCCCATTTCCTGTATTTCATGTCTTTCCCTTGCTTGGTGCACACTCCCATTTCGGTGAAGCACATTTTCCAGTAATTTCCTAAGAAAGGGAACATGGAAGGCACATTTAGAGACCATGTATGTCTGAAAGTCTCTTTTGTCTGCCTTCACCCATAATTAATGTTTAGTCTGGGTATAGATCAGAATTTCTGATCTTTCCTTTAGAATTTTGAGATCATTGCTGCATTTATCTTTTACTTCTAGGATTATAGTCTATATCTAAAGCCATTCTGATTCTTAATCCTTTGTGTATGTTATTTCTGGAAGCTTGTTAGGTCTTTATTTTTCCTGTGTTCTGAAAAATTCTCTCCGTGATGTGCTTTGATGTGAGTCTGTTTTTATATGTTTTACCGGGAACTCATTCCTCTTTCGGTTGGGAAAGTCAGAATATAAGGATATAAGAAAATGTTTTAAATTCTTTCTTTAATTTCATCCCATCTGTTTTCTCTGTTCTCTTTCTGGAACTCTTTTTGTTCAGATACTGGACCTCCTAGGTTAGTCCTTTGGTTTTCTTTCTTTTGTCTTCTATTTTTTATCTCTTTGTTCTTTTGCTCTGCTTTGGAAGATTTTCTCAAATTTCTCAAGTTTAGCTTTCAACCCTTCTGTTAAGTGTTTATAATTTCCAGGAACTCTTTCTTTTCTTGCTGTTCTCTGAAGGCTCCTGTTTTTTGTGTCCTGTTCTTGTTTTGTGGCCTAAATATTTGAACATCTCTTTGGATATTGCTAGTTGTCCTCCAAAGTGGCTGTATCAATTCATCATCCCACAAGCAGAGTATGACAATCCCCTTTTCTCCCCATTCTTTCCAACACTTGGCTTCATCAAGTGATTGACTTTTCTAGTCCTGGCTTTCTTCATGTAAGCATCCATTGTGCATCTCTCATGTGCCAGCCACTCGGGGTACAAAAGTAACCATAATGCTGTATTTGTCTGTTCTTAGGCCGCTAATAAAGACATTCCTGAGATTGGGTAATTTACAAAGGAAAGAGGTTTAATTAATTCACAGTTGCACGTGGCTAGAGAGGCCTCAGAATCATGGTGGAAGGCGAATGAGGAGCAAAATTGCGTCTTACATGGCAGCAGGCAAGAGCACGTGTGCAGGGGAACTCCTCTTTATAGAACCATCAGCTCTCACAAGACTTATTCACTATCATGAGAACAGCACAGGAAAGACCCACCTTCATGATTCAGTTACCTCCCCTCCAGATCCCTCCCACAACATGTGGGGATTATTACAGTTCAGGGTGAGATTTGGGTGGGGACACAGAGCCAAACCATATCAAATGCCATACTGTATTCTAGAGGCTTATAATCTAGAAAGAGAAACAGACGTTCTAACAGAAATTTGCAAGAAAGGGAGAAATAGCAGAGGTAGCCCAAAAAGGGGAGTGTTCTTTCACCCTAATTCTGATCCCTGGGTTTGAGATTACTGGGGAGCAGGTGTGGTCACACCTCTCAGTGTCTCACAGCCCAACTACTTGGATGCCTCTCTGAGCATTTGGCCCTCAAGGACATTGTTGCCCTCCTGAATCCTTAGGAAGATTCAACAAGGCCAGGCATGCTGGCTCACACCCGTAATCCCAGCACTTTAGGAGGCCAAGACAGGAGGATCACTTGAAGACCAAGAGTTGGAGACCAGCCTGGGCAACATGGTGGAACCCCATCTCTATAAAAAATACAAAAAATCTGTTGGGCCTATTGGTGTGCCCCCATAGTCCCAGACTCAGGAGGCTGAGATGGGAGAATCACCTGAGCCCAGGAAGTTGAGGCTGCATTGAGCTGAGATTGCACCACTGCATTTCAGTCTGAGCGGAGTGAGACCTTATCTCAAAAAAAAGTTATACGTATTATATATATGTTATTTTATAAATTTTAAAAAGTTTCAATAAAGACTCAGTAGCACTTGCGTCATATCTACTGAACTAAAGATTTTCCTACCATTTGGGTCTGTGGCTTTGCATTTCCAATTAGGATATTCATTTAATCTGTGTTGCTGCTAGTTTACTCTGGCAAAACTGAAGATGGGTGATTCATGCCGTTAATCTGAATTTTGCATGATTGCCTCTCCCTTGCCATGATCCTCCATGGGTGAGGCTTAATGATTTGTTTTGTTTTTGGCATCCCATACTATAAAGAATTATTAGAATTATTGTTAATTATTTTTCATTTGTGATAATGATGGTGTTATGGTGCTTTTTTTAAAAAAAAAAAAAATCCCCTTTCTTTTAGACATGCATACTAAAATAATTCCAGATGGAATGATACGCCGTCTGGAATTTGCTTCAAAATAAAACATGGCAGAGGGAAATGGGTAAGAGGTACATGACACAAGATTGGCCATGAGTTGATACATTGTCAAATCTAGGTAAAGTTGCATGGGGCTATTTTATACTCTTCTGTCTGTTTTTTAAGTTTGAATTTTTCTCTAGTAAAAGGCTGAAAAAGATCACTGATCATCCCTTGACACTTCTAACCTGAAATGAACCTTTGGTCCATTCTTTCCACTCACCAGCAGAGGGCAGTTGGTTACAGAACCCACAGCTCAGCTGTCCTTGTGGCCTGGGAGTGCTGATGCTGCCTCTCCTGAATGCTTACTGCTTGCTTCACCTTCACTTTTTTTTTCTTTTTAATTTTTTATATGTTTAAGGAATACAAGTGCATTTTTTTTACATGTGTATATTGTGTAGTGAAGTTTGGCTTTTAGTGTACCCATCATCACCCAAATAGTGAACATTATACCCAATAGGTAATTTTTCAACGCTCACCCCCCTCCCATCCTCACACTTTTAATAGTCACCAGTGTCATTCTACTCCATATGTTCATGTGTATCCATTGTTTAGAGGCCACCACCATGCCCAGTATATTTTTAGTAGATATTTTTAGCAGACACAGGGTTTCACCATGTTGGCCAGGCTGATCTTGAACTCCTGACCCTAGGTGATCTGCCTGCCTTGGCTTCCCAAAGTGCTGGGGTTACAGGTGTGAGCCACCATGCCCTGCCCTGTGTCTGTTTTTATATCAGTACCATGTTGTTTTGGTTACTATAGCCTTGTAGTATAATCTTAAGTCAGATAATGTGATGCCCTTATTCTTTTTGCTCAGGATTGCTTTGGCTATTTGACTTTTTTTTTGGTTCCCTATGAATTTTAGGGTTTTTTTTTCTGATGCTATGAATAATGATATTGATAATTTGATAAGGATTGTGTTGAATCTGTAGATTGCTTTGTACAGTATGGTCATTTTAACAATATTTATTCTTCCAGTCTATGAGTATGGGTTGTTTTTCCTTTGTCTGTGTCATCTACAATTTGTTTCATTAGCATTTTGTAGTTCTCCTTATAGAGATCTTTCACCTCTTTGATTAACTATACTCCTGGGTTGTCTTTCTTCTTTATTTGTAGCTATTATAAATGAGATTCCCTTCTTGATTTGGTCTTCTGCTAGATTGTTATTGATGTATAGAAATGCTATAGATTTCTGTATATTAATTTTATATTCTGAAACATTACTGAATTCATTTATCAAATCTAAGAGTTTTCTAGTGGAGTGTTTAGGGTTTTCTAGATGTAAGATCGTATCAGCAGTAGGAATAATTGGACTTCCTCTTTTCCCATATGGCTGTTTGTTTTGTCTTGTTTTGTTGTGTTTTGTTTTGACAGAGTCTCGCTGTATTGCCCAGGCTGGAGTGCAGTGTCGCCATCTCAGCTTACCACAACCTCCGCTTCCTGGGTTGAAGTGATTCTCCTACCTCAGCCTCCCAAGTAGCTGGGATTACAGGTGCCCGCCACCACACCCAGCTATTTTTTGTATTTTTAGTAGAGACAGGGTTTCACTCTGTTGGCCAGGCTGGTCTCGAACTCCTGACCTAGTGATCCGCTTGGGATCTCAGAATCCCAGCACTTTGGGAGTCTGAGGTGGGTGGATTGCTTGAGCCTAGGAGTTTGAAACTAGCCTGGCAACGTGGAAAAACCCCATATCTACAAAAAATTAGCTGGGCATGGTGGTATGTGCCTGTAGTCCCAGCTGCTCAGGAGGCTGAGGCAGGAGGATCACTTGAGCCAAAGGAGTTTGAGGCTACAGTGAGCCATGATTGTATCACTGCACTTCAGCCTGGGTGACACAGCAAGACCCTGTCTCAGGAAAAAACATAAAATCTTTGTTGACCCAGCGATCATTTAGGGGCGTGCTGTTTAATTTCCATGTATTTGTATCGTTTCCGAAGTCCCTCTTATGTTGATTTCTAGCTTTATTCTACTGTTATCTGAGAAGATACTTGATTTTGATTT